GCTTCCTCAGCAGAGGCTATTTGAGACGCTTGGTCGTATGGGGGCATTTCGTGAGGTGCAAGGGCAGGGTGACCAGCCGCAACCCTAGACACCCACCCCCAACCATACTGAGGCCTTGGGAGGCCGATTAAGGTCAAGGTATTCTCAACGGCAGTGGAGGTTGAGCATTACATCATATCGTGTTGATGTGTAGACAGAGGATGAAAGCCAGCCCGGAAATAGAATTTCGAATGAACAGTCGATTGTGTCCGGATATCCAGGTAAGTTGCAAGCTTTCCTGGATGGTTTGGGTGTTGATGTATCTATGTTCAGCATGCGTTTTCTTTTTGTGCGATACACCTACGGCTTCTAACCTCAGTCTAACTGGCCTGCGCATCACGGGTGAAGTTTTGGCATATAAACGGAAGGCTCGATCTGTGGTTGCCAACTTCAGCGGTCTCTGGCGTGGTCGCGATATCCTGTTGTCTGTGAAGGGTCGAATGTATGCGGCAAAAGTTACGCCATTGCTGCTATATGGTGCGGAGACTTGATAGATATGGGAACGGGATAAAGGTAGACTGTCAGTGTTCGCACACTGCTGTCTACGACGCATTGTACTAGTCTGATGGGGCAACCAGACCAGCAATAGTAAGGTTAGCCGCAAAGTTTTAGGTGATCGCGGTTGCCCACTGGAGCGATTGGTTGACTTCCGGAGATTACGTTGGCTGGGGCATGTGTTACGCGTATCACCAAGTAGATTGACACGGCGCGCGATGTTTACCGGGGCGGGCAATGTATGGAAAGAGTGAAGGAGGGTCAAACTCAGACCTAGCATGAGGGTTTGAGAACCCTGATCAGAGTGGTGGTGGCGCAGTGGTTTAGTCGCTGTNGGCCTTATGTGGTTTACCACTCTAAGTCCCGGGGCTTAGGTTACCGGTTTCCATCACTGAACAGCAGGTCCTCGTGATTATGGGGTTCCACCCCGTCTGCTGTTCATCACACAAAAGTGTAATAAAAATAGGAGACTGGGTAACATAGGTCTCGTTAGGCTTCCGGGATGGGGTTAGAGATACTGAATGCTATGACTGAGTGTCGTAAGCAATGGCGTTCGTGCATCTACTCATTGTGCTTGCAACCTCGGTCTACATGAATTCTCTATTTTCACCTTACACTGCTCTCAAAATTCCAGTCTCCGAAATGGGCAGGCAAGAGACAGCAACCAAAACCGGCGCACGAAAGCGTTGTGAAAATTGAAACTGTGTCCGGATTCAAATCCCACGGAATTAGGTGGACACGCACTCTGCTAATAAATCTAGTCAAGGATAGATCAGAGTAGAGTGCTTCTAATCCCTTTCCCCACTGCCGCGTGACACAGTGCCTCTGTATTTGGGAATCCGTTTCCATGACTGGATATTCAGTTTTTTTAAAACTTACTTTTATTGAATACCTAATAAAGCCATTTTCAGGAAGGGGGAAGCGGCCAATCAAAGGGCTGCCATAGAACACAATCGGGAAAGTCATGCGGTGGTGGTGGGATTCGAACGACCCCCGGGTGATAATTTGGGCCACCACCCAGCTTGCCAATTGTATTGTACCTGTTTCATCACCCATCTAGTTGTCAATTTGGATGAAGTTACTTCCGTAACTGGTCGTTATTTCTTCACTGGCATGCCTAGAATGACAGTAAAATCATCTGAACAAGATGTCCAATTTTTTGATTTTCAATGAAATTTTATACACCTTTCATAATTCTAGGTGGAGTCAGTCTACAATTTACTCAATTAATCCCAGATATTACATTCGCGATTTGTCTTGAGTTGCTTCTGTTTCTGAGTAATTCTGTGGTATGTTAATATTTCTGAATTCGGATTATGAATAATTTTTGAAGGAATTGTTTTTTGTTGTTGTTTTAACAGATTTCAGTTTTTCTTTTTCTCTTTCAAATCGTCCCCGATTAGGGAGGAGAACGGAGTACTACGTCCTCTCCCGGCCAAACATATCGATACGGGTATGGGTCTCGAACGTGTCCTGTCCGTGATCCAAGGAAAACGATCTAACTACGATACGGATCTTTTTCAACCAATATTTAAAGCGATCCAACGGGTGCGTTTTTTTCATGTGTCTTTTTTGCCCCCTAACCATGTTTTAAGTTTACAGTTTCTTATCCGGTGGTTAAACGTCCCCTCCCCCCGCATACTAAAAAGGGATTTGCAAGGAGGATGGTAATTGCGAACGAGACAGTGATTGTTTCGCCGTGTTTCAAGTAGGTTCAGCAGAATATTTTCAGGGGGTCATTTGTCTGAGTAGAGGTCCACTTTCCGATCTGATCCATCAGGGATCATAAACAGTTGTGTGTACACCGGAGCTGTTTTCACACAAACAACTCATCAGACGAGGCCTCACATACGTGATCCGATTACATTTACCAGCCTGTTTCAATTATCTCGCTAAAGACTTGTTGAACGACCGAATCGCAGAGATTGTTGACCAACAAAAGTTTGTTTATAGTTGACTGGAGATACCTTAAGTTCACCCGATACGATTGTCTTAACTTCGGTAATAGTTATTATGGGGTTGACTATCCGAAGCAAACTGCTAAACGCCACAACCTCCTTTCATTACGTTCGATCATTTCTACAGAATTATCACATATCTTCCTGGCTTCCGTTTTTGTGTGCATTGCAAGAGTGCTGCTCTACGGTGCAGAGACTTGAGCATTACGGGATCAAGATAAAAATAAACTGTCGGTGTTCGAACACCACTGTCTACACGGCGTTGCGCGAGTTTGGGACTCATCAGCAGTGCGTACTTTTTGTGTCCCTGTCAATCACCACAAAGATTTCCATTGAATTTAAATGCATTTACCTCGCGTTGAATGAACGATCTATCAGGGCGTGAAATCCACATCCAAGATCATCAACAGTGCCTGGTGCCTATGAAAATAAACATTCTCCGACTAAAGTGGAGTCAGTTTCTTTAAAGTTTTGATTTTGAGGGAGACAGCAATTTAAGACAGTTTTTATGGTAGAATTTATACGTAGGTCGACAGCTGTTTCACCGTCGTTTGGTCTGTTCAGCAATGCATACCGTTTTTGTGCCCCGTGTGGAGTTCAAACGATGAGTCTTTAGGTTAGAAGTTGAAATCCAATCTACACCATCGACCGGCAACATATTGATCAAATGCCTTTGCGAATTACATGTCACTAATGAAATCTATCAATATGTAATGTTTGAAAGGAACGAATTCCCAACGGTTAAGGCACAGACAAGAACACCAAAGTGTACATCGTAATGTCTGTCTTTGCGTGTTCAATGAAAAACACGCGCGACTTATTTCACCCTTTGGGGACCTGAAAACAGGACTGAGTACAGGTAATATGTATACCCGTTTTTATAATCTCTCCC